TAGGTAACACTAAATTATGCTATACCAACAAATTAAAACATAATACTAGTTGTTTAATTTTTATTAAATATTTTAATTTGTTGGCATACCATAATTTAGTGTTACGTATGCCCTTTACAGATATCAAAAATCCATTTGATATCACGCTCCTGAAAAGAGTTACTAGCATCTCCGAGGACCCTTGCATCTGTCAAATTTTTTCTTTAAAAATTAATATCTCAAATTCTATAACTCCAAAGTACCTATAGGGAATATTTAATAAAGTGACCCTCAAATTTCACGTAGAATCCGAAAATGCAATAATATATAGGGTGTTCCATTTAAAATAAGAATGTTGACATCCGGTATAACCGGAAGTGTTACAGGAACGAAATTATTATATTGAAAAGAGCACACCCAAATACCATAGTGTGCCTATTTTCAAAATTGAAATTGAAGTAGGTTCTGAAATAATCTAATAGGACACTCACTGCGAGCCACTCGGTATAAGCTGATATAAGCTTTATTATGCCAAAATATATATCGCATTATAACAATGTTTACATGGATGTTATAGTCATATTTTAATAAATATGTTTTATTTATTGCAATATTTTTTTAAAAAAGCATTGTAGTATATGCACCAAAATGCAAATTCGACAAATTTATAAACATTTGCAGAATTACAAAATAAAATTCAATCGCCCTTCCAAGTGTACAATACAAATGCTAATCTAGGTATTACCAATTTTTCTTTTTTAAATATACTTACAATTTAATTGTGAATCTATACCTTACCTATTTATTTCATGTCTAAAGGGTCCCACAGAGTACAGACTTGAGCCGCACGAATCTGCACGAACATGCCAGACACATAGAAGAAGAAAAAAGCGGTTTCACCGTCGTAGAAAAACTGTTTCGGTTAGATATAATGACTTTCTTGGTTCGCGCGATTTAGTCCGTACGGTCCTATTCGCACTAATGGAACGAAGTATGTGGGGCCCTTAACAAAATCGATGATTGGAATATAAAAAATTCTAAATTTGTTTAAAAACCGGACATAATTTATCAGTAAAAATAATATAAAACAACATTCAGTTCAGTAGATTGCAGAATAATGGCGGTTTTCCACTAAACGGACAGTTGAGTTTATGTCCTGTTTGTGTTTTCTAGAACAAAACAAAAACAAAACTGAAACAAACCCAAAACTCTTGTTTCCATCAAGCGGGCTATATTTTGTTCGAGTTTTGTTTTTGTTTTCAGTCCTTTTCCACTGGTTGTCGCGAGGAAGTCAGAACACATTTTTCCAGCCAACATGTTTAGAGAAGATTTTTTTATTCTTAGTTATGGCTGGTTTATACTGAAGTCCTTGGAAAAATAGTGTGTCTACAGTGTCCCACCTCGAACTCCATCGATGGATATCTGGGAAACTGCTCCAAGGATTTTCTTGAAATTGTGATGGTGTGATACGGACCGTGGAGCCCACCAAGTTAAAATATTTTCAAGGTCATCGTACTTCCGGTTACACCGGAAGTCGATACTAACTTTCTTATTTTAAATGGACCCCCCTGTATATTATTGCATTTTTGGAAACATTTTTCCATTTTTAAATTGAAAACATATAGCACACTCCATACTTAGGATTGACCGTTTCCTAGATATTTCGATTTTTAAACAAAAATTGACAGATGCAGACTGTCAGCAAAATTTAGTTTTCCCGGTTTATTTTTTTGTGCAAATTGGACATTTTGTAGAGAAATTGAATTTGACATGAAAATTTTCCAGTTATTATACAGGGTGGTCAAAACATTTTTATTGAATATGAAGTTCAGAATATGTGGAAAACTCGAAATTTTTAAATGGAAACCCCTAATTTTTTTGCAATAATATACAGAGGGTTCCATTTAAAATAAGAAAGTTAGTATCAACTTCCGGTATAACCGGAAATACGATGACCTTGAAAATATTTTAGCTTGGTAGGCTCCACAGTCCGTATCACGCCATCACAATTTCAAAAAAATCCTTCGAGCGGTTTCCCAGATATCCATCGATGGAGGTCGTGATATATGTACGCTTAAAATGTTTACTTGGTTAGTTTGTATCCTAGCCAAGTAAACACTTTAACCGTACACATATATATTTTTTAATAGCTATAATTCATTAATGATTAAAATATTGTTTTTGGGAAGAAGAAAACGCCAACATAGATATTGGGTTGGATCATTTAAATAGAAATCACAACACGACCGTTTCCACTAAACAGACTTGATTTTCAAAACACGTCGAAACATTTTCATGTGACCGGTCTTCAAAAAGTTTGCGAAAAGTTACAGTTTTGTTTTATTCGACACAAGTTTGTGTTTTGTTTTTGTTTTGTCCGTTTAGTGGAAAACCGCCTTTTTGAAGCGGGACCCGAAAAACAAAACTCCAACTGTCGCAAAACATGCCAGTCTTCAAAAAATTTGCGAAAAGTTACAGTTCTGTTTTATTCGACACAAGTTTGTGTTTTGTCCGTTTAGTGGAAAACCGCCTTTAGGTATCTACATACAAGAAAAAGTTATCTACATACAAAAAATTTGAGGTAAATTTAGTTACATTTATTTAGGGTAATTTCGAGGATAACGCCAGCAGTTTTTTTTTCAAATTTCAACTGAATAACTTTTAAGATACTATTGAAACTACAAAAATAATTTAAACATTCAATTTAATAATATCTCCTTGCAATTGACAAAACAAGGTAAACTTCTAATAATATAAATGTAGTGTAGCAACAATTTTTATTAAATCTTTGATTGGTTACCTTACCCTGTTTGCCGGGGAGTGTTGGTCATAGAAGAAGGATCAAGATCGCCAAGATAGTTAAATCTTTCCTAATCCACCTTTCCTTTTACTCGCAAGGGTTAAATTTTGTAGAATTTTCATCCACCCAATATCTACAAATATGGTTTTAAACAAAATCTTCAATTGTGAAATAATTTTCATCATAGGTATCAATTGCAGTTATTCAAGTGCCATCTGCACTTCCTTTATTTATATCTTCCTCAGCTTTAATTTTTTCTGCTCTTTGATAAGTTTTTTTCTTTTTTCACTTAACGCTTACATATTTTGAACACTTACTGGCTCCCGTTTTTTCTTTAGAAAGTTATGTAATTTTTATAAATCTCGTAAGTATCCATTTTTAATGCAATGAAGTTCAAACTCTGGACTTAGAGGGTATAGGAAATAGGGAGAGTTTCTGAGGACTAATTACCAGTAGCTTGTAAAAATTCGAACAATTCTGTTTTAAAAATACCTAACCTGGAAACATCGGTAGAAGAAGGAAGGTTAATAAAGACTAAGTAACAATACCTACGATAAATACAAAAAATGTTTAAAAAACGTCATCATTAAATATTGAAAAGGATTTATGTACCTAACTAAAACACAAATTGTGTGTATTTCTGAAATAAAAACGCCTAAATAACCCCCAATTATTTTTAATCCATAATTTGCTTAAGCATAATCCCTTCAGTAATACCGGTAGTTATGACTTACTGACGCCATCTAGTAAATTTTTACTAACAATTTTTCATCGTACAATGTAGGTATTATTACTCGGTATATTATTTTGTTTAATTCAAAATTAAACACATATGTACCCTAAAAACGAAGTAGATACCGATTTTAATACAAACTTTTATATATGTAGGTGCTTTTAGTCTCACAGTCATTGCAGAATAAAAAATATCGACATTCCTTCTGATCGAAATCGATAGATCGATGTGTCAATACAGTTATTAGAAACAAAAGTGCTTCAATTAATATTATTGAATGTTTTGTGAAAAAAAGAAAAACATAGACGAGGAAATATAATTTCAAGTAGGTACTACACCTAAACACTTATAGAACCTACTACCTAACTATGGAACAGAACCGTTGTGAAATGAACTGAACTCTGGGATGTGGCTTTGTGCGATGAACCAAAACGCCTCGAAAGAGTACCTACTTTTGACAGGCAAGCGATTTTTTCAAAGTTAATTAGTTTCTTTAAAAAAATATTTTCTGGAATTTCCGCTTTCCAGTTTCCTTCCTCAATTCAAGTAGATAGTGTATCATTTATTTCTATTCTCACTGGAATTTAAGTAAGTACAGTTTCATTATAATAAATAATAAAATACATGTTACTATTAATTATATTAAAAGCAATAATGACAAAAGGAATCAAGTAAATGTTTCGTTATACTTATAGTCGCTATAGTTACAAAATTGTCGTTTGATGACGTGGTGTGTACCTATTCTTTTACGACACCACTAAAATGTAATTGAATGTTGTATTTTTTTGTACAAATATTTATTTCTTAACGCTGGAGTTATAATAACAATATACAATGTATTTTGTACGGTAAAGTTTCTTAGGTTTCTATTTCTGACACATTTTATTGTGAACACGAAATAGATATATTATAGTTAGGTACCTATAGGAAATCCTATTGCGAATGATTTTTAAATACCTACCTACCGATTAATTTTACCTGAAGGTGGATATGAATATATTGTATGTAAAAAAATATAAGACGCAAGTCCCAGAATGCAAATTATTCTTTAAGAAACGATTTTTTCAGTTAGATTATTTAGATAACTTGGGTTTACCATCGCAACGTAAATTAAAAATATTACTCGTGCTATCCTATAAGAATACATACTTACTCTTACAAAATGCACACTTTAAAATAAAACCAGCTTAGAACCTGTAGAAAATTAGATACTCATATATTCTAGTTCATTGGTATACTTCTTCCGTCCTTATAACAGAATTTTATAATGCTAAAATAAGTATGATATTGTTGTAGTATTTGTAATAGTACGTACGTTTTAAAAGCGGAATGCAGTATTAAATATAGTGGTTAAATACAATTTTTTTCTATGAACATAATGCGTAGGAGTCAGCCAACTATCTTATCTACAATATTTTAGCAAATAGAAAGCAAAAAGTGTATTGAAAAATGTAAGCTGAAGGACAAAAGCAGTAAAATATAAAGTACCTTTCTGTCATTGATTATGCAATGCGTTTTAAACGCACTTCAAATTGTGAATTGGAAACTGTTCACACACACTGTGACGCAGTGTCGGCACTGATATGTGGTGCATGCACGGTGGCCGCAGCGTCGTCAACAATTTTGAAACCCCACTGTTCATGCAGCATGGGCAATTTCGCGGCGAGACAAGAAACCACCAACTAACGGTAATCAAAACGTTGTTGTCTCGCGCGCGGACCCGGAACTCCCCAATTTAGATCGGCCAATATGGCGGTCACAACACTGGTATGCACGTGGTGAATTACAATTTAAACACAAGAAGATGATCACTAGGTGCACAAGGCAAGCGACGGTAGGATGTGTTGTTGTGGGTGGCTATACCTGACCCAGCTTGTGTGACGTCGCCGGCCAACTGTCTGAGCGCGCTGTCAGTGCTACGAATGTCGGACCCGTTCGAGAGTAGTCGCCCCCGCAGCCCCTCCAAAATGTGTGAACGCATCGCCTTCAGGCGCCGCAACCGTCTCGACGGCGATGTCTCGTGCAACGTGCAGTCGCTTCCACTGCCCCCGAAACTTCAAATTGCAACCCGGCTGCTGCAGAATGCTATCAGTTTTCTGCTTTTCCTTCCTCATTCTATCATTCTTCCTCAGAGCACCGTTGTTGCGAGCGTTTCAGACGTCTCCTATTTTTGAACGTCATACGCAAAACAGTAAAATATAAATACATATTTATTTATAGTTAACAAAATATGTAATAAATATGTTATATAATCAATATAACATTTTTTATTTAATGTGGGGAAAATACTAAAATCTATTTAATTCAAATTTAATAATACCTAGGTAAGGTCACTGGGAAAATATGTACCAGACCTACTTATTCTTTTATTTGAAATTTATTCAATCCACTATTATAATTTACTTTTTAATTTAAAAAGTTGGTATGGTACCTAGGTAAACCATACATATATCTAAACTGTAAATTATCTAACTTAATGATTAATTAAGGGATCATATGAATAAATCGTATTTAATGCATAGGTATATACCTAAGTATAAATAATTAACAAATGGAATGGATTTACCTATATTTTATTTAACATTATTAATTAAGAATTTACTTTATGCTAAAATTATATTTAAGTTGCACTTGTTTTTGAAAATTTTTCTATTTTTTTATATATTCCTGACGGAAAATAACTCCAAATTACCATGCACATATATTTTAGAATTTTATACTATTATTTATATTATGATGTAGGAATTTTACTCATGTAAAATCTGTCTAATTAGAATAGATGTATCTCAATATTTTTATGGGAAATTTCGGGATACATAATAAATTCAAATCGTTAGAGCTGAATATAAGCATTTCATTCTAATACCCAGTCTGGTATATGTTGTGCAGATTTGTGCTAGATAACATGCCGTAATGAGCTCGCATGAGTCGCACGCAAATACTTTCTTTGCCCCCCGCAGTCCCCTCGTATTCGTTAATCGGACGCGACCTCGAAACGCATAACATCTCCTAAACCGTGGACGTGAATGTGTGCGCCGAGCACCTATTTCGCAATTCGCCAAAATGTTTATTCCAAATTTGCTACCACATAACGTGCCTTGTTCAGGGCCGGCGAGAGGTTGTATTTGCAATAACAGATCTCTGTAAAAAATGTTTAGTAGTTCGTTGTTATTAAAAATACTAGTTGTTTGTTTATATAATGTACATGTACCTTTTTAAAAATAAATAACTTAGATAATAGCACAGTTGGTCTTCTTGATAATTTTTTTTTATAAACATATTAGTTCAATAAAAATTTACTTAAGCGTGTTACTTAGACTACTGATTTTCATGAAAATATTTACCACGGAGTTGTGTTATGTTTTTATTTAACAATCAATTAATCAGTATATATACCGGGTGGCTCAAAGTGCCTATTAGATTATTTCAGAACCTACTTCGATTTAAATTTTAAAAATTGGCAGACTAGGGTTTTTGGGTGTGCTATTTTCAAATCTAATAATTTTGTTTCTGTGACACTTCCGGTTATACCGGAAGTTGACGTCAACTTTGTTATTTGAAATGGAACGTTCAGTAAATTTTTACATTTTTGGATTTTACGCTTCATTTTAAGGTGACTTTCATCAAGTTTCCCTATTCCTAAAATTATCCGTTTCGAGATATTTAGCTTTTTAGGAAAAAAAATTAATAATCGGAACCTACTTTAAAGCCGTGGGCATTCTACAGTTAGACAGATAAAGTAACAATATTTGCAGGAGCAGGAGCTAAATACTTAAGCTGCATATCTTCAGAGTTACCGAATTTTATACGGGGTGGTGATAATTCAATACCGAGTTTGATCCACTGGAAACCATCTAAACTTGATTTTTTGTAATGGAACACTCCGTATTTTTTTTTCAAATTTGGATGTGCCATATTATTCAACTTGTTTTCAGGAATTATAATGTTTTTCTTGTAGAAACGTAGTAAGAAAACATAACTTTATTGATGGATGTTTACGATAGAATTATGGTAGGCACTCTGGAAAGTTGCAAAATGATCAGAAATCACTTTTTCAACAAAATGAACTGAAATTTTATATTCTTGATAATCTTTTAGAGAAAAATAACTTTTCCTGAAAACATTTTCCCCTAGGATTGAAAATAAGGGCCAATTTGCAGTTTTCGTCTGCCCCTTGTATATAATAAACGTTTTATGAAGTTCAATTTTGATTTGACCACAAACGAAGGAATTTATTAAATTTAGACATCTCCTGTGGTGCAAACTTTTTGGATAGTGCTGTATATACGGAGTGTCTGGTAAGAATATGGCATACTCTTGGGAGTGCATAGGGGAGGTCAGAAATAACCCTAGATTGTAATAAAAAAACAATTCTAAAGTGCCCGTTAACGAAGATATAGAGCCCTAAAGCGATACCCAGCGATTTACCTTTTCGGCTCTAACTTTTGAACCGACGTGTATAATGTCATGAAATTTTAATGTAGGCCTTAAAGGCTCATAAAACCATACTACAGTAGATGTTTTACATTGTCAAGGAAGTCAGGAACGGACTAGCAACTACACTCGTTGGGTCAAAATGTTCACAAGTATCATTTTATAGATCTGAAAACTGAATTTTTAAATACATTGCTAATTCCTCTTTAACAGGGGTACTCTACATTTGTTTCGATATAATCAGCCGTTTTCGAAAATATTAAGTTTTTGTATAACACGTTTAAACATTGAATTTCGAAATTACTAAACTGTTAATAAACTATCAAGTTTATTACCATAAGCTAGTTAAACACAATAACTAATCGAATAACATCATAATTAATAATTCGTATTAAAATATTAAAATTTGTCATTATTATACATATCATTAATGCTGACAAGCTGACATACATCTAACTTATGGACAAGCACTCAGCAATTGTGTGGAGGCAAGAATAATTTATTCTGATACATTTCCAAATCACTTAAACGCAAGGATGTTAAAAAATCGAAAGCTTTGTTGCTGATTGTTTACTTGAGCAGATTTTCGAAATGGTTACTCTGTACTTCTAAACATTTCTATCTAATAAAGTGTTTAAGCTTTGTTGCAAGAATTTCAAATACATGGCACGATTTAATCTGTCTTCAAAAAAGAACGGTTCAATGTGATGATTTCCAATAATCCCCGCCCATATGTAAACCATGAACCTTTGTTGGTGCTTTGTCTGCCGTATTGCATGGGTAAAATTTATATTTTGCCTAAATCCTTGCAAAAACCATTTTGCGTAATTAACTCTTGCAGGATAATCAGCGGGAGACATGGCATGTACCTTTTAGACGTGATAAGAATGTAGCAGTTGTTCTAGAAAAGTCTCATGAACGTCTCACTTTGTCGTATGACCTTGGACCGACAGCCTTCTTATACTATTAAAGGGATTTTTAGCAATCTCATCCAGAATTTATTCCTCTAACTGAGGGTTCCTTGCTCTTCTTGGATACCCTTCTTCACCACTATGCTATGTGGCAAAAAACTTTCTAAAATGGATTAACAAGAGATTAGTAGTTATTTTTAGCATTGTAATTTATTTTTTCATCATAAACGTCTTAAACCTAAAATAATAACATACAGAGATATTAAAATTTTTTCATCCGGTGATTTTTTCATAGACATTAATAATATCGACTGGGACAACATATATTATATTAATAATATTGACGAGAAAGTTGAGTTTCTTAGTCAGAATTTAACGCACTTGACATACACGTTCCCTATAATAGTTCGCTTATCACTAAACCTTGCTCCTTGGTTTACTCCCACAATTAAGCAAATTATAAAAGATAGAAATTTCAAAAAAACTCATTGATTGGGTATCTTACAAGCAATTACGCAACCTTTCGGTTCAAGTTATTAGACGCGAAAAAGCAGGGTACCTTGCTTATCAACAAAATTGTAATAATTCGAAACTATTGTGGAGAACGGCGAGTAATATGAATATTAAAAAGAGTCAGGATTTGCATTTAGGTACCTACCTTATGAGTTGCGCAAGGTTGATATAATTAATGACTATTTCCTTTCTGTTTTCAGTCCTGCAAATAACTGTTCCGAAACTGTAAGTAAATACTTGTCCAGTCGATATAAAGAAAATATATGTTTTAATTTTACATTAGTTACTTATGATACTTTGAAAATTATAAATAGTCTTCAATCAAATGCTTGTGGATTTGATTCTATTTCTGCTAAAATGTTAAAATTGTGTGCCCCTGTATTATATGTATAAACATATTACAAATTTGATTAACTGTTGTTTGGAAACTGGTTATTTTCCTCAAAAATGGGAAAAAAAGTAAAGTAAAACCAATACCTAAAGTAAACAATCCAAAAAGTGTATCAGATCTTCGTCCGATTAGTCACATTCCTACTTTATCTAAAATTCTTGAAAAAGCAATTTATAATCAAATATATGTTGTTCAAATAACATTTTAAACTCTTTTCAGTCTGGCTTCAGAAAAGGCTTTAGTACAACAACAGTTTTATTGGAAACTACAGATAATATATGTAGGTCACTTGATTCTGGAAATGCAACAGCATTTATTTCTCTAGATTTTTCCAAAGCCTTCGACGAGCTAGACCATGCTTTGCTAATCTCAAATTAAAATTTTATGGGTTTGATGACACTTCGTTGCAATTTTTCAAATTATACTTAAGTATTCGCCAACAGATGGTAGTCATTGATAATGAAACTTCCGTGTTATCTTTCATAAGTTTCGGGGTGCCCCAAGGATCGATTTTAGGACCTATTCTTTTCTTGATTTATACTTGTGATTTATTCACTTGTATGAAGGCGTGTAATATACAGGGTGTTATTCTACATGAGAAAATAATGGCAGTTTGCTTATAAACGTA